AAAGATATATAGATACATACACATCACTTCTATGACGTATGTTTCTTCTAGACAGCCATGTGTTGCAACCAAGCAATTTTTTGCTCCTTGATTGAAATTGATGAATATTTGAACATTGCATAAGGAGTGATCCCAATTGGTTCCAAAGTGTTAAACTACATACAGGCTGACACAAACTTCTCCCATTGATTCCCTCTCCATGCATGTTGCAACCCACCACAGACCCTCAAATTATAACCGTCTTTTCTCTGGCAAAGAGCTTCTTCCTACAACAGTTACTACAACTATGTCAGAGGTGAACAATGTTTCATGTTTTCAGTTGTACAGGTTAGTTAGTAGACTACAAATTGGAATCTGGGCATTTAACAAATTCAACAACTGCCCAGCAGAAAATAGTGCAGAAGTCATCAGTAGTCTGCAGTAGAAAGCAAGAACTCATGCTAGCATGGCTTCCACAGCTTTGAGTGACCTAAAGACAAAGAAACAGATAAATGTATACTTCAGGTATCAGAATAGATAGAAAATAAGTGATCATAGCTTCCTATTAAGATTCCTGGTAGTATTTTGACGTAGATGAAGTACAGTTCAGCTCAAAATCATTTGGAGTAGCTCAGCAAGCTTCCAGATGGAGAATCACTGGAGTCACAGTTTAGTTTCCAACCTTAAAAACTATGAGCTTCTCACTGCATATGAAATCTCTACAATATTTGATGGAGCATTCAATCAGCTGGTCAGCAACATATTGAATAATTTGACTGCTGTAATGTCAGTAAAAATCATTTCACTAATATTGGAGAAAAGTAGAAATGAGTTCTGATATACCAGTGTTTGATTTCAATGTAAATAAAAACAAACATTTAAAGTTTATACTTTTTAAAATATTTAATTATTGCTTTAGAGATGCCCATTTCACTTTTTTCATAGAACAAAGTTCTGGGTTGAAGGATGATCATTTTAAATCTAAATCTGTCATGGCTATAAATAATATAGCGGGTTAATTGTAGGTCGCCTTTGGTTTGATAAAAAGATTTAAGGGTTTCTCATGGATTTAGTGTTATGATTTATGTTTTGAGCTAAAAAAAATGCACAGAATTTTTTGTTAAACAACAGCTTTCACTTTTAAACAATTAAGCAATCAAAATGACTATTCAGCATGTAAACAGGTCCACATGTCATGTCCTGCAGATTTGATCTCCCAGCTGCTGGACCCTGTCCTTGACCCCTGGTTTGACAGAGAGACCTGCTACAAAACAATCTCCATCCCAGAGTCTTACACTGGACCTCGTATTTCCTTTCCTCTTTCTGTCTCTGATACTAATGCCCTCCTCAGTGCATTTAAGGAGCAGCAGGTACCATTGATGACCATCTGATCCATCTTAATGAGACATTTGCTCATTTTTAACACGGTGAATTTCTTTTTTTCCAAACAGGTTCTGCATGCCAGGTATGTCCTTCAGCTGCTGTTTGAAACCAAAAAGCTCCTCAAAGAGATGCCAAATATTATTCATTTGTCGACGTCTTACACCAAGGAGATCACCATATGTGGTGAGAAATCTCAGCACTTCTTGTTAACATCAGAATAATTTGTAAATCAGGTCACAGAACACCTGATGTCTTTGGTAGCGTTGTAAGCACAGCTGACTCTGCCATTAACTGTGTGTTAATGGCAGCCTTCTAAGATATTTGCACACTGATCAGGCTCTTGACTTCTCTTCCACAGCTGCCTCCTCATACCGACTTGCATCTCATTTAACTCAAGAATACTTGTGACAAAAAGCAAAAGACACACACTGCATGTGTTGAGGGGGTTGGGCCATTTGAAGATTTCCACCTTTAGTTTAGAGCTTGATTTACAATTTACATATTCAGTCATTAAATTCTTTTTGTTTTAAGTTGTTCATTGGAAACAATCTTTATCCAATTTGGAAACAGTTTTGAATTATATGTTCTTCATGAATAGAAAATTGTTCTCAAGTCTCAAATATATATTTATTGCTTTAAAAATTTGAGGAATATGAAGGTTGTAATTCCAATCACCTAGTGCTCTGCCCACGGCATGATGCTAGCATTAACATTTTCTAAATTGGTACAGATCACATAAAGATTCACCTCAAACACGTCTTATGATTGTGAAAAAGCAGCTTAAATTATGCTTCACCTGTCAATAAGACTTTTTTGTACAAGGTATTTGGTTTGTCCACATATATTTGTGCTTAAGGTGTCACATTTTGAGAAGGGCCTTCTTTCAGAATAAGGCGCTGTTTAACTGGGTTTACTCTGCATAGTCAAATGTATTTGAAGGTAACTTTGAAGCAGCAGGATGCTGCAAAAAATGTAATGGTTCTTAAAAACAGTTGTGTTTGTTAAGAATCATTACATTTTTTGCAGCCAACATTAAGTTCTTGAAGTGGCCTATTTAAAGCCTTAGCCTTGTGAAAATTTGTAAACAAAACAAGACTAGAATAAAACATACAAAACTGAACATGTTTCTCCAAGATGGTTTCAAAATCCAGTTGTACCCAGAGTTTAATTGCTATGAAGGACCTGGAAACTGCTAATTGGCATTTCAGCAAATATATACACATTCGGAACAGCAGCTTAAATATATCTTACCTTGTTTGGCTCAGGGAACATCAAGAAAAAAACAATATGTATGGATTAGCAATGTTTCTTTATGTGCAGGTGACCTTCATGGCCGGCTGGATGACTTACTTCTGATATTCTATAAGGTACTTTAAAGCAGAAATGTTCCTTGTTTTATAAAAATACACAACAGATGTTCTAAAATTGAAAAATTGGTCAAAAGGCACTTCAATCTTTGTTGGTTTACAGAATGGACTACCTTCTGCTGAGACACCCTATATCTTTAATGGAGACTTTGTGGATCGTGGGAAAAAGTCGGTAGAAGTGGTTATCCTCCTGTTTGCCTACCTTCTGCTTTACCCAGACCATATGCACCTGAACAGAGGAAACCATGAGGATCACATAATGAACCTCAGGTGGGTTTGGGGCAAGAAAGTTCAGAGAGATCAAATTTTACCCCCAGAAGACCTCATATGTTTTCCTGTTTCTTAGATATGGATTCACAAAAGAAGTTATGCAGAAGTATAAGGTAGCCAACCTGAATGGCATTGTACTATTCTGTGCACCATATTCTGCAGATAGTGATGGCTATTGAAATTGGCTGGAATAAATGTAAATTGGTTCATTCTCATGGGATCTATTTGTCTTCATGCATGCAGACCCATGGGCGGGAGATCCTCCAGCTGTTTCAGGACGTTTTCAGCCTTTTACCCATCGCAACAGTCATTGATGCTAAGATCCTGATTGTGCACGGAGGAATTTCAGACCAGACTGACCTGGAAATGCTCAACTCCATAGAAAGACACAAGGTCAGAGAAGATCAATGTCTCACTAATCACTTCTTTGTATGTCTCAATATGTCAGATTGACTTCATGTGACTAAGCCTCCGATGTGACCCTCTGCTGAAATGTCTGTCTTGTGTTACATGTGTTTTTCTTGTACAGAAGGTTTTTTTGATACCTCAAACTGTATTATGTCAAGGATAAAGTGTGAAATATGCGTCTTTTTTTCCCCCCTCTCTTCCCCAATGTGGCTCCTATCTTTCCACAGAGATAATGGCAGCGCTATAGGTAACCGCCTGGGACCTGGGAAGCCAGGTAACTGGTGGGAACCTGGCAAGCCATAAGAATGCGCCGTTCTGCCGAATGGCAGCGTTCTGTGGCACGCATGGCCTCAGTCAATCCGTTCCCCCCTTTCAGCCCGTATTTTGATGAACGGTTGTACTGAAACTGAAATTTCGATTGCAATGTAAATTTAAATTGACAATAAAGAAGTTTGATTGATTGATTTGATTGATTAAAAATACAAAAAAAAAAAAAAGAAATGAAAAAAGGTCTCAAGCACTTCCAGACGGTGTTAAGCAAAAGATTCATCCTTGCTAAAGCTTTTTAAATCACTTGTCTGCCCTCCCAGGTGAAATCTGCCTTGAGGTTTCCCAGGCACAGCTTAGAGCAGCTCGACATTGGTCAGTCCCACCGGCTGGGCAAAAGAATGAGATCAACAGACAGCTCGCATAGCAGTCGCAGCTACACTGAGAACCACAGAACCCCCAGTCTGAGGTCTAAAAGCTTTTCCTCACATGCATATGTATTTGCTTTTAAATTTTGTCAATATTTATTCATTTATTTTACAAAAGACCTGACCTAATCTGCTACTTGTTCTCTTCTTCAGAAAGAGGAGATGTGGGGTCAGCCGGAGAGACAGCGGAGCCTCCACTTCTTCCTCCTCATCTTCCTCGTCGTCCTGTTCCTCGCTGTGCTCTCCTCGAACTCCCTCCTGCATCTCGCCTCAAACGTACCCATCATCTCCCAGCACCCCTCACAATGTCCTCCAGGTGCCTTTCCTGGACTCTCTATGCTCGGTTCCACTCCCATCGCCTCCACAACAGGAACAGGAGTGGAAACAGGTTAAATATTGGAAAGAAAATCATCAGCATCTTTCTTTCCTTCCTAATGTTTCACTCAAAGTATCTCTGTCCGCTCCTCTACTAGATAGTGGATATATTGTGGAGTGACCCTAAAACACAAGAGGGCTGCATGCCGAACACTTTCAGAGGTGGAGGCTGCTACTTTGGTCCTGACATCACTCAGAGGTTGCTGCATCAGCACAGGCTGCAGCTTCTCATCCGCTCTCATGAGTGCAAACAGGAGGGATATGAGCTCTGTCATGATGGAAAGGTAGGACATCTAACTGCCCCTTATGGTCTAAAAACTGTACCATGCCTGAGCTGGCAGGAGTTAACTTGTAAATCTTGTAGGTGATCACCATATTCTCAGCTTCAAACTATTATGAGGAGGGAAGCAACCGTGGTGCTTACATCAAACTGGGCAAGGAACTGGTTCCTCGCTTCTACCAGTACCAAGTCAGCCGCACCACCCGCAGGCTCACACTAACACAGAGGTATAATGTCATCATTGATTGAGATGAGGAAACTGTAAAATATTTTGTCCTATTTGACAGCCAACCAGTGTGTTTCTGTGTAGAATCTGCAGAAGACGAACATAATAGCAAAATTATGCAGTAGATGTGGTTTTATAGATAAGATATAAGACAGGAGTGTCTGTACCATAATAGTTTGGTGGTTTTGTGCTATTGTTTTTTTTTTATTATTATTATTCGCCAAATTTTGACAAAAGTAATATAAAATAGTTAGAAGCAAATGAGAGGAATCCAACACCCCCGTTTGCTTACCTTTGCCTAATCCTCCTTTTCCTCTACCTTCCTTTCATTTGTCTGTGAAATTATATTGTCTGGACCTTAATTCCAGAACATATTTAGATTTGCATTTGTTACACTGAATACATGTGAAGAATTTATTAATTTATCTTTAATTCTGTGATATGGGCTGTGCCTATACGTCCTGTCATGCAAAGGATTGTGGGGTTCCATAAAGGTCCTAAACGCCAGATTGGAACATTTGAAGATTCTTGTGTAAAATTAACTATGGATCCGGAGCATCCAGCTTCCTTTTCCTATCTCCTTTCTTTCTACCAGCTCTATCTCTATAAAAAAAAATCATGGCTTCTGCTAATGCACTGCTGTTCTGGCTTAGAGGACCAGAATCTAGGGACCTAGCTTCTTTTCTGTTTCATCCCCTTTGAAACAAAATAAAGACCCCATTAGTGCCTGTGTATTCTTTTTAGAATATCTAAACATGGGATTATTAATTTTCAGGACTGCTTGGTCTTAAAGTTTTATCCAGGAGCACTAAACCTGGAAGGTAAAAGTCTAGTGCCCCTAGTGGCTAAATGTGATTTATTGTTGCCTCACTAGAATCAGAAGCGGATTTATAGAATAAGCACCATTAAGCGTTACAGCTACATTTGATCACAGTGCTTTTATTGTGTCTTGTAGACATGCAAATAAGAATAGAAAACTCAGACACCCTCCTGCGTCACATAATGGCTGCGTCCGAATGTCCGCTCTAACCCCTAAATCCCTCAATCACTATATAGAGCGGGGACTATATAGTGGACTTTATAATGAACTCAGTTAACTGACCGTTCAGACAGGTGACCAAAACTTTTTGCTCCCCGTTGATCATGTGACTACGCCTCCGTGCATGGTGCCTGCGCCATCTTTGTTGTTATTTGTAGTGACAGCGGGCTGCTGTGACAACAAAACCCATAATTCGGGGATATATCTGCTCGTCCAGTGACCATGAATGATCACTACTTTTCAAGGTGCATTGTGGGAAATTTTGATTCTGCTACTTTTCATCCATTCTGACACATCTTAAATGGAGTAACCACTATATAGTGCCCTATATAGTGATTAGGGCAGATATACAAACATAGCCTATGTGGTTGTGATTCCCCAGACAGTCTTTCAATTGTTTTGCATACGTCAATTGCAGAGTTCGTGTAGCTGAAGGCTCAGCTCTCAGGGCCCTTAAGGAGAAACTGTTTGCCCATCGATCTGAGCTTATGGCAGCCTTCCAGCAGTATGACCAAAATGAAACAGGTACTTTTTCTCTCTCCAGCACAAACATGTGGTCTTCCTTGTTAACATATGTAGCCATTACCTGAAAGCCACTCCTTTGTAACAGGTTGTGTGTCAGTCGGTGAATGGGCCAAGGTACTGGAGTCTGTTCTGAGACTGGACCTGCCATGGAGAACTCTTCGTCCACACTTGGTTCATCTGGCACCAGATGGCAGTGTTGAGTATCAGTCCAGCTTTGAGGACGTGGGACCAGGAGCTCCTCTACCACAGGTGAGGAGCTAAAATCTGGAAACACCCATGTTGTGAAAAAGTATCCATTGATCTTAGAGATTACATACCACCCTATAAACCAAACTAAAATCATAACTGCTATAATTCAGTTAATAAGTAATTATTTAGTATTAAAATGCTGCATATTCTTTGCTTCTTTTAGGTTGCTCCCAATTTGGCTGAAACTCTGTTCAGATACAGGACTGACTTGGAGATCATTTTCAACATCATAGACAAAGACCATTCAGGTAGATAAAACTCTGCAGTACACATTTTTAAAGTCTTCTTCAGCTTGTTCAACATGTTCTCTACCAATGAAGGCGTGCTCATTTTGGATGTGGCTGTGTTAAGGTCTGATATCTATTGAGGAGTTTCGCCACACCTGGCGCCTGTTCAGCGCTCACCTGGGGGTGGCTATTGACGACAGCGCCATCGACGAGCTGGCCCGCAGTATTGACTTCAACAAGGACGGCAGCATAGACTTCACAGAGTTCTTAGAGGCTTTCAGGGTGGTGCACAAGCTGGACATGAAAGAACAACTGAGCCAAAAAATGGGCAGAAAAAAGTATTCATAAAAATATGACATGTTTGAAAGAAGCTAAAAGAGAGGGAAGATTAAAGAAAGGCAGAGTAAGTAGAGTTGGATCCAATCTATCATTGACTGGGAATTTTGTACAGTTTCTTTTAAAGGGGTCATAGAATGCAAAGCTGAGTTTACATTGTCATAGAAGAATAACGATAGTTCAGTGGGTGAAATGGACGTACAGAGAAGTTCAAACCCCATCAACGCCTCCTTTCTCTGCAAATTTGACAATTATACACTACCACCATAAAACGGGCGAATACAAACGAAGCCCCGAGGTGACATAAACTGCGGGACTTCACGCCCTGAAACTGACATACCAGCCCACTGGTTGTATGCCTGCTGAGCCGCTGACTAGACTGAGCCTTGAGCTACCCGTCCTCAGCCAAAGGAGGGGGCTTGGGGCCGGTAAGGCCAGCTGGGAAGCACGAGTCCACCTGTGTCCAGGCTACCGGGTCGGGGTCGGTCGCTCCGTTCCCCACTGGCTCCCTGCCCCCATCTACTGGGGTTCCCGGACCAGCCCCGAAGCTGACAGCTCGGTTCGAGTGCACTGCAGTACCTGCTGCACTGTAGTCGACCAAAACACTAACCTGTCATTTCATTCTAGGGCTTTTAACCAGGCTTGCATTAGGGCTCATAGACCAGCAAATATATCATTTTCATCCCAACCAATGTTACACACCCTATTCAGAGGCCTTAAGGACCAGCACCAAATACCTTATGTAATCATTCTATGACCCCTTTAAGTTTTACTAACATATTTTGATTTGTTGTACGGACTCTTTTTGACTGGCTGTGCAATAAAATGTCTTTTGAAATAAAGTAAATGAAAATTAACTACTTGTTATGCTCACAATACTTGTTTATAATTAAATTCATACAAAAACATGCCCCTCAGAAAAGTCACTTATAATTATGTCCACGTGGAATTGGGATGTTTATGTGCTTTAGATACACTTTTTTTGGTGTAGTTTTGTTGGTTTGTTCAGTATTTATATGAATAATGTTCAAATGTGTTAAAACTTTTCTGAAATCTGACATTTTAGATTTAGAGCATCAACTTTGTTCATAGCTTAAACAGATGTGTTTCTATATTTTTCCAATATCTTTTTACCAACCATTGTAGAAAAAAATTGATGGAGCTTTATAGATAGTAGAAATAAATGCATATAAGAATAGAGTTTAACAATTTGGAATGCATCCTGAATGCATTACTAAAGCAAACAGTACAATATAATTTTTAATCCCATTACCCGTTGCATTTTAAAGATCTTGTTTTGTTGAAACTGTGTTTTCTAGTGCATATTACTGTAACAATAGGCATGCCTTTTTAATCCACATCTTTTATAGCTTTTAGCAGCCCTCTTTAACCACCTTTTTTAATTCTCTCTAAAGTCATTTTGATTTTTCTTAAAATGTTTACCCAACTCTGATGAAATTCCAGGATTTTGGAACTTAAAAATGAAGGACCATGATTGTGCTATTTTCTGTTTTTCTTTTTCTTTTTTTTTTCAACTGTTAATGTAACACATTAGTTAAAATGTAACCAAAAACAGCTCAAATAGCCTGGTCCAGGAAAAGCCCATTGAAAGTTGATTTCACCCAGTTGCATTCGCTGATCCACACACACCGATACGCTGACAGGGCCTTGTTTAGGAGTACATCAAAATGTGGTAGCCCATAAAGCTGGAAGCAAACCCAAACCCTGTTGATGAACTGACTTGTTTGGACATTTCAAAACTTTGTCTTCTGATAAAACCATTCTGTTAAATTTCACACATGATTCTGACTTAAATAGTAAATAATATAATTCCTGTTAATCATCACACTTTTGGCAAGCACATTAATCCCTTTATTCAAAATTAACTAAGAGCTGTTCTGAATTCCCTCTATATGTTCCATTTTTTCTTGTGAATTTGCTTCAGCAAAGTATTAGATCCAAAACAGCCACTTTTTGTCGCACCTTAATCATTGAATTTTAACCCCTTTCCATTTTGACGTTTCAATTAAACTACTGGATACTCATTATATTAAAGATGTGAAAACCTATATTAATTATAATGCTCTGGTATTTTATTTGTAAATCTCTAATTTTAATAGTGGTTTGTACTGGAGCTGCTGAGTTAAAATAATAATTTTGCTCAGAGATCCAGAGTGTCAGTGGGTTTCAAACTCACAACCTCAGGATTCCAAGCCCTATGCCCTGACCTCTAGGCCACCATTCCGCCTAATTGATATGAAGCTAAAGAATTTGAAGAGTTTTCCTGCAATGCATCAACACCACTTTTGTAGTCCCACAGCATGATGCTACCATCTCCCTGCTTTAGGACTGCAGTTGTCGCTCAGCTGTAAAAACATTACCAAGACTCCTTAAAACAGCTGCAGATTAAAGGTGTTGATTAAAAATGTTCTGCTGGTTTGCTACATCTGAAACCTATTAAATGAAAAAAATGTGCAAAACAGAAAATGACTTGTAAAAAAAAAACAAGGCCTCAGTATTATAAATCCAGTAGTATTACAGCACACATCACAATTTCCATGAATGAATAAAACTGGTTTCTTTAACACCACCATGAATGTTTCTCACCTGGATTTTAAAGTGACTGCTTATGGGAGTGCTTGTGCGTTAATGGGCTCCTTTACTCTGGTTGTCTACCTCTGTGAATACAAGCATAGAGAGCTGTTTAACACATCCTGTCAGCCTGGGAGAGAGAGCTGGGTTTGGTTTTATTTGAAGCTTTTTATAGCAATTTCTATGCAAAAAAACATTAGCTAAGCTAATTCTCTTATTGTCACCTAAATATAAAATCTTGTAAGGCTGGTAAAGATTTTGTAAATGGACCTTTAAAAAAGATCTTGTTGCTTTTGTATCTGTATTTAGTGTTTGTGCTATTGCTTTACTTCTCTCTTCTTTCTTTTGAGATTATCAGTTTTCTGGTCTCTACTACTTCAAACTTTTCTTACTTTTGCTACCCTAGTTGTTTTTATTTTCTCTGCTCAGCGTATCTCTCCTGTTCAAGGCTTCAGAAAGCTGCAGCAGCACTGATAGCTATGGTGTTATTCCGAACACAGTCAGGTGGGACTCCTGGTGGCATCAGTCATATTGGCTTTCATCCATGTTAATTAAAGGGGTTACTAAAAGGGTGTGAAGTGTTGAGGAAAGCTATAATTGCAGGAACTGCACCTGCAGTGTTTGGAGACACAAGGTGTCGTAGGTTTAAGGATCTGGACAATGGAAATTTTTCAAGTCTGGTGGACTCTGGTGACCTGCTGCCATCTGGGATACAACCTCCATGGACACAAAACCAACAGCTGTGTCTCTGGACACTGGTTTCGTGATCTTCCAGTTTTATTTTGGTAATGTGTTTAATTCTTTTTTTCCTAATTTTATCCTTCAATCTTTTATCTTTTTGTCTTTGTAAATATTGTTTAGTTTGAATGAGGTGGACAGAAGTAGTCTGAAGTCGCTTTTTTTCTAAGATTTTATTAAAAGAGTTGGATATATTAAAGTTGCACATAATTAACCTATGCTGGCCAGGTTCAGGCTGCTCCCACCCAGGCTCCATTCTCCATGGGACGAGCAGGATGTATATATATATATATATATATATATGTATATATAATCTAACAGTCCAAATAAGTTTGATAAATAAAACCATTGACTGTGGCACAGATGTTTGTTTTTAATCTAAAGAAAGAGGGTTTCATTCAAGCCTCGTTCTGCCACATGTTGATGGACCCTTGGGCAAGGTATATTCAGTTTCCAGTTGCCTATGTTGAATTTCTTTGAGTGGTCAGTAGGAGCAGAATATGGATAAAAACAATAAGCTTCTTTCATTATTTAATGAATTCTGTTGTTAGTGCTTTGTTTTTAGTCTGTGCTTAAAAAAAAATCATCCCTCTTATTACTAGTATCTTCCTTTTTTAACACAGTGTTCAGTTAACAATGGAAACTGTCTGCAGCTCCGCTCTTTCTCCTCAAAGTGCAACCAGAAATCTAATTGGACACAAACCAGAACCTTGTGCCACTCTAGAACCGATTCACTTTGCTGGATGAGGAGCAGACCTGTAGAGGTTGAACCAGTTACTGATTTCTTTCTGTTTTTGCACACTGATCTCTTACTGGCACTTACTTTTACCAGCTGAGGCACATTCCTGCAAAACAAACGTCCTTCACGATGAGAAAGGATGACTAATTCACTCACTTTAGGATGTTTGATTTTTTTAAGGGTTCAGGAACAACCCCAATGAGCTGAGAGACTGATGAGATTGTTTCAGCCCTTAGACACCTGGTACTTCACACACATTCCTGTTCTCTGACACCCTGTCACTATGTGTCTATTTGGATCCTCTGCAGAGGGAGACAAAACACAGAGAGATAGAGACGGGTTTGGAGAAATGTTGATCAAACTTCCACCAGAGGCTCCTCTTCTCCTCTGTGTGTCTGTGTTCTGTCTAAGGGACAGGGTCCAGGAAACTGTTATGTTTGCTCATTAAAGGCTGCACCAGCAGGCCAACATGGACACACAGCAGAGTGGAATGTGTCATATTTTGTACCTGTGTGTACCGCAGTCTGTGTGTCTTTCTGTTTGGTACTGTAACCAGCTGGACCGAGCGACTGGAGTCCAAGTGCAAATGATTATTATCTGAGCTCTGCATATAGCTTAATGTTATGTGTTTCTATGCACATAGATCTAGATGAGTGTGAGTAGAGGCAGCATCAGTGACAGCAGAGCTGCATTATCACATTTGGTGTAGCTGTCATGTTTGGTACTGACCTGCCCCTAACCGATCTTCCTGCACTGTTAGGCCTGTGGCTGTTTGCTCCTCCACAGTTGTTTGTTTGTTGTTTTAGCTTTAAGGATCATGTAATAAGAACAGAAGAAGGAATCGCATTTCTATGTAGAATTATTTGAATTTTTGGGGAGTTGTGAAAGAATGAAAGGTCTGTTTAAGATTATAGTACAGGTTCTGAATTGAATTTATTTCTGGACTTTGACTAGGAAATTGCAAAACCTTCTTAGTTTTTATGTTTTTGTTTTAAGAAGGAGGAGTACAGGTGTATTGTGTCATTGTCTGCCTGCTACATCTAAGGAACTTTGACTTAAGTTTATAGTTGAACATTCTCCTTCAGGATTCTCTGGTAAAGAGTAGATTTCATAGTTACATTCATTACGGCATGTTGTCTTGAAACCACAAACTAGCTCTTAAACCCTCACAATATATATATATATATATATATATATATATATATATATATAAATATATATTATTACTTGTACTGAAACATGTTAAGAGCTTTGTTGCATCATTTTTGTATGTATGTATGTAAGTATGTATGTATGTATGTATAATGTAGAATGGAGGCCGCTCTCATCTGTTAGTAAACAGAATAGGAAGGTATGAATGAGCCTCCCTTCTTTTTCGTCCTACGGCTGGAAGAAATATTCACCAAAAACAACAGCGCCCTCTAGCGGATGAGCTCTCCAATACGCCTGCTTAAAAAAAAAAAAAAAAAAAGGCTGGTCACCGTCTGTCTCCTCATTTTAGGAAGAAATGGGAATTCTATAAACTCATTCATAAAACCAGTTTAAATTCATTAAGGAGTTGATTTTGATAGTAGATCCTTAAGTAGATCAGCTGTCTTAAGGCAGATGAACTGTAGTTTTGATTTTTACGGTAACTTCCTCCTGTAATGTAGTGTCTGGATGAAAAAAGAAAAAACAAGATGCCTACCAATCTGTCTCTAAATTAGATTTGGTGAATGTAGTTCAAGTCCATGTTGCTGTAAGCTGTCTGGATGACTATAAAGGTGGAAATCAGATGATTAATTTACCCTCTGTAATTTGTGCAAAATGCAGAGAGGAAGAAATAATCCTTCAAGGATTCTCCTAAAATAGCTGCAAGAAGAAATTAATCTATTTGTGGCCTTTTAATTACTTTAACTAATTTAAGATACATCTGTGTGTAATAATAGTCCTGTGCCTTTGTTATACTATTATACATTTTTAATCACTTTTAGTTCAATTCTCAGGAGCAGCTGCATTTTTATTTTATGCCAGAAAAATACTATTCTTTAGTTTAAGTGAAAAAAAAAATCTTGATTTGGTTAAAAGACTACCCTTCAGTGATGTTTTTTTTATTTCCTCATTAGAACAGAAACTTTATCTTGTAATGTAATAATAATAATAATCTGTCTTTAATGGTTTTTTGATGCTATTATCCTTCACCATGTATATGTTTAACTAGCCAATGTTGTATTCTTTCTAACAAGGATGGGAGAGTAATTTCAGCTGTTTCAGTTTTTTCTGATATTTCAATTTTGTAAATTTCAATTTGAAGCTTAAGAGGTGCTGTATGTTTCAAATTTTCTCTTGACATTTTTTTTTATTATTATTGTCAACTGGAACAACTTACAATTCTTGGTTACTGTTTTTTTTTTTTTTTTTTTTTTTACTTTGTCTGAAACCTTTCATATATTAGGATAGGGAATAAAATACGGGGGGATTGGATCGACATTTTTTTTCTATTTTGATAATTCTTCATAGCGTATTCAGTCTTCAAAGGTGCTTTGATTTGCTTTTCAAGACTGTGTTGGACCAGTAGTAAGCCTGACAGCCAGTATCTTAAATGTAGCCGTTAAAACCATTTGTAGACCTTCAAAACTTTATTTATTAATTTTATGGAATTAAGAGTTTTAAACAAAGACAAGACAAAGATAAACTTGAGCTGCTTGCTTTTCTTTGTATTGAAGGGTGAATGTGGCTCTAATGTAAACGGCGCAAAGCAAGCAGGATGACTGAAAAAATTTGTTAAATCCACTTCCTGTTCTAAGCCAAAAAGCTGTAAGGAGCTGGGGGGCCTGTTGATGCCTTTTAACTGTATTGCACATCTGATGAAAGTGTGCTAAAATACGATGCAACTAAACTGCTCCAAGTGAGACACTTAGTGAAGCCGCTCAAACTTCACACTTAAGGACAAACAGCTCATCTACTCATTTTTATGTGACTAAGCTCTATTTTCACCCTTTTCTTTCCAGTCGTGTTGCAGTAGGTAGGGAATTGGACATGCAAGGCATAGGCAACAAGAAGAATCCAGGGTGTTAAAGTGTTTAATTCAGGCAGAATGCACCAGAGTCTGGATCTGTCGGTGCTTATTCACAGTCAAAGGTGCATGCAATCAACACAGATGTCCTGCTTTATAGTTAATTTAAAAGACAATAAAATATGATTAACCTTGTTACTATCTGCTGTTAATAACAAAACTATATGTTCCATTTGAATTAATACCTTCTGGAGGATTTTGTAAGGAATAAAACATGATCCTTCAAATGAAATAAAGTTGGAAGATGAGGTAACATTCAACTCCAGCAGTCTTCAATCAGAACCCTTTAAAAAACTAGGTTCTAGGATAACTAAATGTATTCATCTCCACCGTTATAAGTCACCCTTCCTCTTACCAAAACAATAAAATTAAAAAAGTGCTAAGCAGAAATAAAACAAAACTGATTGAGGAAGTAAATAAATAATTGATTTGGTGGAGATGAGTATATTGCACAAGTATGGATTACTTATCAGTAGTCTAACATTTGAAGTTAAATTAAAATAATTTAAATAGATTATAAATGACCTAAAAGCACAGATCTGTGCTTGTATTGTTACAAATTTGTTATTTAAAGACTTTAAAATGCCAACACATATTTGAGCAGCTCTGGCAATCACAGTGGAGACAACCAAAGGCATGATTAGCTTCGTACAAGCTGCCAGGGCTGCGTTCTTACATGAGAGCTACTGTTTACTGGATAGTTCACGAAAACCACAGGAGGTACAAATGAAAAGATCGAATGAATCTTTCTGTTACCAAACAGGGGAACAGATAATAGTCTGATTCTTCACTGCATCAGGCAGCTAGAACTTGGCAGGAAGTCTTGGACGTACGTGACCACTGCCTTGGAGAGATAAGTCATGGTACCGTAGCTGCCGCTAGGGGCGCTGTCATAGAAAAAGTTGCAAATTCCAGTGGCTGGGTCCTTCTCGAGGAAATAATCGCTGGCGCTTAGGGATTTCTGGAGATTTAAAAAAAGGATAATCCATTTAGGCAAAAGGTAAACTTCAGGATTTAGTATTTCTGGGCCAGTGGGTGTTTATTAGTTAGTACCTGGTCATTTAGAAAAAGGTCGTTGGCCAGGTGCAGAATGCGGTCCACGTGGATAATTCCACCGATGCTGGCCACGTCCACATCAGCCACCAGACCCAGAACCATCACAGTCTCCACCAGCAGCTGCCTGTACTCCGGCTGAGGGACGTGGTTCAGGACAGACTCTACTTGCACTGCAAACTTTATCTCTCCCTCGGTCATCTACTCGAAACAAATTCAATAAAATACAAATAAATAAAGACATCAATGCACACCTAGGTCCAGATTCCAACGTTAGCAGGAGTGTGCTACCTCTCTTGTGGTGGAGGATGGCAGCACGTATCCATCTATGGACAGGCCGTGGCACTTCTGCAGAATCTTCCAAACTTTCTGGTAGAAACCCATTGGGACTCTGTTGATGGCTCCATCCAGCCGCCGTCTCCTCAGCCACTGGCCCTGCCTGTCCTCCCAGTGCAGCTGCCCATCTCCCGAGCCATGTCCCACTGGGGACAGCATTCCACTTGGAGTGGAGGGGCTGCTGCAACGCTGTGATGAGTGAAGGACCAGCAGATCACTGTTCTTATTTTCAAGCTTATTTGAGCCCATTAAACAAGTCAGAAGTAACTGCAGTTTTTCCCACAACACTGGGCTAATGTTAGTGCTCCTCGACCGATTTGAGATTGGCGGAGACAGATTCTGTGTGATAAAGAGATTAGTAGCACAGACAGGTTTTTTTGTATTCTCTATTTAGCAAGATAGTTGATTTGATTCAGTCCATGCAGTTATTCATGCAGAATGGGTCACAGTAAAAGAAAAATAAAGATTGAGACTGGCATTATGATGTGCTGCAGTTTTATAAACAATTACCCTGTGTGCAGAAAAAATAGCCAATCATCATTAAGGTACAATCATTATGTGGTTCAGATAAAACTGCAAACTACAGTTTTAACCTTGGTGCTCATATCAATGCTATGAGTGAAGCTCTTTTTTATCTAAGCATGGATGCCGCTATTGTTTCAGTACATCATTATAAGGAAATAGATATCTGTTCGTTTCAAATTAGTGGCTATTAATTCCATAATTTCTAATTTAGCCAGAATTTGACATACCGTATTTTCACGACTATAAGGCGCACTTAAACGTCTTTTTTTTCCCTCAAAATGTGCGGTGCGCCCTATGGTGCGGTGCGCCCTATGTGTGTTGTAACTGCGACTTTTGAGACCACCTCATTGAGGAGATGATGAAAGAGTGGCTGAATGTAAGGAGACCAGGTGTTTTTTTTCCACTCATCACCATTAATATGTAACTCCATGCGTGCCCATCTCACAGCTGATGTGAAAAACATGGGGAAACAAATGAATGCTGTGCTCGCTGTTCAACCGCTCAACATTGGTGTGAACCGGACCCAGCAGGTGCAGCAGAAGCAGCGAGTTTACATGCAAAGTCAATGGTTGACGCGCGTATAGGTGCAGCAAAAGGTCCCGCAGCGCGTTTTGGTGCAGCACGTCGGGAGCGTTTAAGCATCTGAAGCGCCGCCAACACGCTGCTGCTGCTCAAGATGGAAAAATTGAAGTTTTGCTGCTGGACGCGCCGCATCAACCAATCAGAGAAGCTGATCTGGGAGCTGACAGCGAGACAGACAGCGCTCTGATGACATATGATATTAAATGAAAAAGGCTGGGTGGATGCGTGGCTGAGGCAGGTGTATCTGAGAAGACTAGGTGGTTTTTTCCACGCATCACCATCGCTGCGTGCCCATCTCACAGCCGATGTGAAAAAAAGGTGAATCAAATGAACGCTGTGCTCGCCGTTATCCCGGGGGTCTGACAAAGGAACTTCCACCGCTCGACATCGGTGTGAAGCGCCCGTTCAAAGTAAGGCTGCGAGCGGCGTGGGAGCGATGGATGACAGACGGAGACCACAGTTTCAGGATAATGGGAAGGCAGCGCCGGGCAAGTTACGCCACAGTTTGCGGATGGATTGTAGATGCTTGGACTAACGTGTCTGTTGGCTCTGTTGTTCGAGCTTTTGCAAAAGCCGGCATTATTTCTGAGGAGCTGCGCTGCACGGAAAGTGACTCTGACAGCGAAGAAGGGGAAATTGGCATGTCTGATTTAGCGCAGCTGTTTTATTCAGAAACAGAGGATGATGACTTTGATGGGTTTGATTAATACTTTGTAATAAATACATGAATAAAGCATAATCATACTCAGTTTTGCTCCCGCTCTATTTTTCTACCTGAAAGCTTAATTCAACAGCAGCCTGTGGGCGCGTCTCCTCCTCTTCAGCGCGGTGGCCGGCAGGTGTTTTTTCATCTAAATAATCTAAATCTTGCAGCTATATTTGCTGTGATCAGTGGGAATAAAGTAGTTTTAATATGTTTTTAAGTGAGAAAGTCCACCTGAAAACTTAATAATTGCAGTCAGTTCATCCAGATTATCTATTTCTGTCGGAGGCGCTCAGACCCCCACATACCAGCGGTGCACCGACAGTAAATCCCTTCAACAGCAGCCTCACCGCGGCTGCTGGCAGGTGTTTTTCATCTAAATAATTTTAACTGCAGGCACCAGGATACCGGCAATAAAAGCGAACATATTCCGGTGGCAGGTTTCAGGATTTTAAGTTAATTTAGGAGTGATCACAGCGCTGTGTCATCTGCGATGTGTCTGTCTCACGGCCAGCTCCAGGTTTGATTAATACTTTGTAATAAATACATGAATAAAGCACAGTCATACTCAGTTTTGCCCCCGCTGTATTTTTAAATACGCAGTAGAGGTATTTAAAGGTAGTAGAGGACATGTACCTGTATATAAAAAACGCGCCCTATAGTCCGGTGCGCCTTATGTGTGTGTTAAATACAGAAATGGGACACATAACTGAGAGTGCGCCTTTTAGTCCGGTGCGCCTTATGGTCGTGAAAATACGGTATGTTTCACTAAACTGTTAAATTTATTTAAGTCTGAATAAAAGTCTATAAGCAAATTAGGATGAGACTGAAACAACATTAAATTTACACCATTTAACAAAACTATTAAAAGTACGTTTTTTCACATTTTGTAAAGCTACAACCAAAAACTTTGGTATATTTTAATGGGTTTTGCTGGACTATATCAAAGAAAAGTAGTTCAGGTTTTGTGAAATGGCACAAAAACATAGATTTTAAAATTCTTGTCCAATAAAATAAAAAAAAATGTTCGGAGTCTATTTTCTGTTTCAGTCCCTTGACTCAATACAATGCTCATTAAGCTGCAACTTTTGGGGCATTCCTTTTTTTTTGGTGACTGAAAGTTTTTTTTTTTAAATAGATCTAGTTCCATCAGATGGAACTAAGAACTTGTGCTAGCATCACATTTTTAAGTCTTCCCACAAATTCCCTATACAGTCACATGCCTATGCTTTGAACAAACAATTTTACTGCAGCTCTGGGGGGGAGTTTGGGATGTTACTGAGGAGTTAACCTCCACACTGGCCTCAGGTCTGATACATCTTTTATCAATATCTTAAATCAGGTCTTACAAGGTCTGCCCTGTACTAAATCATCCCCACAGCATGATGCTGCCATCACTCCAGAGTGCTAATGGTGTGAAGTGCAGATCATTTTGCATATATGCCAGAAAGTAAAAAATTGTGACGCGCACATCTGCTGGTTCTGTCAAAAGAAAGTCAGCATAAGATCTGGTTTTCTGCAGCCTCTCCAGAGCTTCCTGGCTGCCTCTCTGAATAAATCATCTCTAACACCTGTGTTTATTATTTTCCTTCCATCTTACAATAATATTCCACTTTGTGTTGAATTCTCATCTAAAATGGCAGCTTGTCTTTTTAAAGTAATCAATGCTTCCTTTTCAGGAAGGGTATCAGTGGAAGGGTATCGATTTTTGTTTTTTTTCTTGATTATATTAAGCATAAGCAGCCAAGAAGCAACCAAGAGAGTTTGATTGAATTCACTGAAAGAGTTTATTGAAATCTGGTCTTTATCTCTTTAAATATTAGATCAGGACAAGGAGGATTAAGCCACAAATTATCCATGTTTAAATGTGGGTTTCCATAACAGCCTACTGTAAATTTAGAAATGATTTATTAATGAGTTAATCTCAGTAAGACAACCAATGTTTTTAGTTTTGCTTCACTGGTTACTATTGTGCAACTTTTTATTACTATTTAAATAGAGAATATAAGAGAATCTGGGCAATAAAGAAGGATGTTTTAATCATGTAGGAAATTTAATCCTGTCAAAAGTGAGGTGTTTTTTTTAAGCTATGCTATGTTAAAAGCTAAACACTGTAGATTGTTCACTTTTAATTTGTTTTGTGTTGCTTTACAGAAAAAACAAAAGCAAGAAGCAAAGTTCAAAAAGCACAGTACAGGTAAACCTAGAAATAGTTGTTTGGGCACAAATGTTACATCTTAAATGCTTTGCATCTTTTTGTTTTTTTGATACTTGTTCGTATAGTTTTATTTTATTTCTGTTTTATTTTAACATATTTAAAAGCAAAATAAAATGCACTGTGTTTACTTTCTTCTGTTGCTGTCACATATAAATCTTTTTAAACTGTCTTTGGATATTTACTTTGGTGAATAAATATCTATACATGCATCGATTTCCGCTGTAATACTAACAAATATTCTTTGATTTCACTTACTTTACATTTAGGCTGAATAAAGTATCTTTAAAATGAACTGAATTAAGATTGTCCAAATATTTAGGAGGAGCATGTTTCTGAGGAACTTTACCAACTTTGTCTTTTTGGTTTCCCTCCCTCACAGATACATACTGTGTCCTTTTTCACTAAACCTGTCAGGTTTTCCTCTGAGGTTGAAACATTTTAGGTAAGTTTATTTATAAAAAAAAAAATAAAAAAAAGAAAGGACTACTTACATTTTTCCTTTCAAATTTTATACCAATGTATTTACTGCATATTATTAAAATATGATTTCTTTACTTAATTTAAAAATCTATTTGCAGATGCATTTTGAACTGCTGAACCAACACAGTACAAATAAGAGGCTTAGTTCTTATTCTTAAAAAACATATTTTAACAGCCCACAATGAAGTGAAGTAATAATGCCATTCTCATCCTTTAATGTGGACAAATCCCCCAGATGTCCAAGTTAAGCATGAAATCATCAAGTATGTGTAGTTTAAGTACATTGTGACCCTGAAATGGATGAAGCAAGCCAGTGTGAAGCAGTTGAAATGAAATGGTTTACCGTGGAGCGAGGGGAGGTTACATTGCTATTCAAGGAAAGACCGCCACTGAAGATCTACACATGGGACATGGATAGAGGAGAGTCTGAGATGGTTTCCATGGTTTTCATAAGGCAGACTTTGACATGATAGAACAAAACAAGACAAGACAACAGCAAAAACAAATAGAAATACAAGGACAGACTACAGCGAAGCAGAGTATTTCAGGCTATGGTTGGTTAAAGAGCTCATGGGGTTGAGGACATGTTGGCTTCATTTTCAATGGTGTTTAATGTAAACAACAACAAAAAACAGACGGATGTAACACGCGTGGAAGAGTTTAAAAGCATGTTTTCCTGCTGATTCGTCGTGAGGAGAGTCCCCTCCAGCCACGGAGGCCACTGTGATACACAAAAATGTTAACAGGCAGCGAGCGACTGATGGGTAGGATTTAACCGGCGGCTTGATTTTTATTTCAGATCGAGGTTAGAAAAAAACATGCTAGAATTTATCAAAGATAACCCACACTGAGAGGACGGGAGCCATCCAGCTGCAATAAGAGGCAAGAACAATATTAGATAGATAGACAGACAGACAGACTGACATACACAGAGACAGGCGGACAGACAGACGGACAGACAGACAGACACACACACACACACAGACAGACAGACAGACAGATGTCCTTTTTTCACTCACATGTTTTATCTCACTCTTTAGCTTATGAATCCCTGTGCGTTCAGTCTTTGTGGCCCCTGTGTGGCCCAGTTCATGAATAGAGATTGCAGGACTGGTGGCAGTAGACTGGATGGGTCGCACTAAGAAACAAAAAAATAATAAAAAAAATAAAAAAAAAATATATATATATAGATATATAAGTTGTGGTTTATAAATGTACTTTAATCTAACTATGATACCTGAATTGCAGCCACAGAATTATGTAAATTGGACCAGAACCACTTTTCAATAGCTATTATTTTTAATATTAACCTTAACGGTTTTATTTTTTCTGTACAAATATAACTTTTTTTTTTTAAATTTTTACAGTGTCCTGTCTGGCAATGTGGCAGAATAATTGTCTTGACGCCAAAAAGAGCGCAACCGACTTCACTTTCACAAGTGGAGCAGTACGCCTATCACCATAGTGATCCACTTAATTTATGCATATAAATAGCTTTATTATAATTATGCAGGGAGTATGGCAGATATATATGGATACTGCAATGTAAGTAGAACAGGAAAGGAAAAACAGGAAAAAGGAGAAAAGATGAAAGAAAGAGGAGATAAAAGGGAGACAATGATAAAAACATCTTCCGTCTGCTTCATCATCTGCAAAGAGATGTAAAAAGAACAGCACAACCAACGGATGTAGTGTAAGTCTTACACTATATCTGTTGGTTGTGCTGTTCTTTTTTGTGCTGTATCTCTTACACTGTAAGAGATACAATAAAGTAACACCTTGATACTATCGCTGAAGTATAAGTAGCATTATTTAAGCCACATGTATACTGTGGTAGCTGGAAATCAGAATATGAGCTTTCTGTATTGAAGTGAATCTCTAAGTACCTGGAGCCAAGCACCTGTAGTTGTTTGTGAGAGTGCACTTGTGCATGTAAAGTTTATCCAAAAGAAAAATGTTCAATAGTGGTTGTGAAGAGCCAAAGACTCACTGCTTCTTTCGACCCCAAACTCTTTGCCACTGAGGATGTGATGCAGCAGGTTCTTCATGTCGAACGGACTCAAACTCATTAAACTCTCAGACGCTTCCTCTCCTATAAAAGAACCACAAAGCTTTATTTTTTTTTTGTTACCAGTCTTTTTGTCGGCATGTATGTGTGTTTTATTTTCCCCCACCAGAGCAGTGCAGGCTGCGAGCCAACTCAGTGGCCATCACCTGCATGATGAGTCCGATCCGTAGGCGGAGCATGTCTCCGAAGAGAGCCGGCTGGGAGCGCGCGTACATGGCTAGATAGACCATGATTTCCTGGAACAGAAACACAAACTGGTCTCAGCTGGCATCCATTAAGAATGAAAAAGTGGTTTGAAATAAAACAGGCTTTACCTGAGTGAGAACAGCTATGCTGATGTCCTGACCACTGGCTTCATATATCAGAGCGTTTAGCTCCTCAGGAGGAAGCGGACTGGGAGAAACAGGAAGGTAAAGCAGGATATCTGTGTGTTAGTAAAGCATTTTTGTGATGAGGAAAAAGATCTGCATTCTCCTGAACACCGTACATGGCTATCACTCTTTCTCTGGGCTCAGGAGGAAGACCGACAGTCAGCTGCTTGTGATGAGAAATCAGATCTGTGCAGGCCTGAGAAGACAAGAAGCAGGAATAAAACCATTAAAACACAACAGATTATACAGATGTTATTTGATCCTTTAACAAAACAAGCAAAATCTTGATTACAATTCAAATTAAAAAAGACACAAAACACTACAAAACATATTTTTACAAATCTGCATAAATATAAACGTTATCATGACATTAGAGGAAAGACAACTTTTTATTATATGTATGTGGAAGTGTTATTTCTTTTTTAGAAATCCCTTTGGTTAAACTATTTAAACTGAGAGCATCCTCTTCATCAGGATGAAGAGGATTATATTTTTCTTCATTATGAAAAGATTTCTGCTATTTAAAATCCTCTCCAGAACAGGGCTGACCTTCTTACCGTAATTTAGTTTCTGAGGCATCTTGAATGTATGTAACATCATCGTCATTATTAAATAAGAGACCCACCATGGTTTTGTCATTCGAAAACTTCCCCACCATGTTAGTAAGCAGAGTAAGAAGGAGAACAGATCCCTGTGGTGTGCCAGTGTCATGGTATGTGGTGGCGAGGAAGTCACTGATCCAGGAGCAATGCTGTTCCAATGAGACCAGGGCTGTGGAGTTTTAGGGTCAGTATGTCCAGAAGGACGATGCTAAAGGCTAAGCTGAAGTCAACAAAAAGCATCCTAACATATTTTCAGGTCCTGACACAGAAAGCTGGAGTAAAAAAAATATCAAAGCATGCTTAAAGAGAACATGCAAAAACAATTCAAAAAGAGCTCAGGCCTGCAGGCTTGCATTTATTCTTAGAACCTTCTTGCTACAAGGCAACATTTCTAACAATCCATCCTCTATGCTGACCTGAATCTATTATTCAAGCTCTAAACAAGCAAAATTACAGGATGATTTAGGGATCAAAATTAGTTCAATAAATATATTTCCTCCTGTTTTTGCTTCCTCTTCTGATTCAACTGTTTTATTTTAACATCTGAGTGTTGCATGCTGGAGTTGTATTAAATTCTTCTTTTACTGTGATTTCGGGCCGTCTTCAAGAAAAAAAGAACCCAGGTTAGTAAGCGCTGCCTTCTGTAACCCTAAGCAAATTCTCTGGTCATGTTGTCATGCCTCATACTTATTTAATACGTATAAATGAAGTGTTATTTAAAGAGTTTGCCCTGAGAAAAGGACCAGGAAGAGAAAGCTTTCCTTTACAGTAGGAAAGCTTAAGTTTAAAGGCTTCATCTAATCAACCATTCACCTAAAAATTCCCATAAAAACACACAGACTTATAACTGACCTCTGCAAGGACCTCCACTCGTTTGTGTAGTATTCCAGAGATGTATCTAATGAGCCCCCACTCCTTGCAGGCTCCGGCTTGCACGTACAGTTCCTCCAGCAGCGAGTGCACACTGACCCCACCCTGCCCAGGGCCCGAAAACTCCACCACCCAATCTGCTCCTCTGTATCAGAGAACAAAAAGAAAAGAATTATAGAACAGGAAATGGCTTTATAGAATGTAAGCTTTTAAGTTTTAGGAAGCATCTAGGTTCCTATCTCTGCGCACTTCATAAAATAGAGGATGGAGAGGATGTCAGCCTGGTCCTGCAGAGTGGGACACTCTTTTATCTGATTCACCAGTGCTGCAAAATCATAGTTGCCCTGAGAGTCTCGTGGCAGGTGCAGCTCTGAGATACTGCAGAGCTTTAGAGAAGACATGCGTTAATCTTGCACTATTGCAGCAATGAAGGAGACATAACACGAGCTGCTGCACAGACGCATACCTTAGGCTGCTCCACCTGCTTCAACTGTGGGCTCGGCTGTAGGTCAGGGACCTCAAGGAGGTTCAGGGATCTTCGATGCTTTTTTGTGATCGGAGTCACAGGAAGATACAAGGACGACTCTGAAATATAAATACAAACTGAATCAAAGGATATAGGTTGGAACATGCTAGTACCTTCATAGGGTGGTGTATTTTTCCACACTACAAGAGTTATATTTGTAAAACAAAATTAAACCTTCTGCAGCTGAAACAAAATAACTTATCAGAATAAACACAAACCTCAGTATTCTTGTTTTTCCTTTGCAAAACAGAAGTTTAACTGAACCTCCTGCATGTGACTGTGGGTTTTGAAAAACTTTGCTGTTTTTGCTTGATCAATAATCTTGTAAAAAAAACTTACTGGGTATTTTCAAGCCTTGGACCTGAGCCATAAAAGACAGGATGTCCTTTGTTGTGTGCTCGGGGCTGAAGACGTGGTGTTGGTCCCTCTGGATGGGAGGTAAATGGGACTTGGTTGTACTGCTGTGAAGGAGCTGCGTGATGTACTGGTCAAAGGGGTCCTTAGAGCCCACTTTAAAAAAAAACAACAAAACACCAGGTTCATGTTTAATGTCTCACTTTAAACTGTAATGGTGGAAGATGCGTTGATGCAACCTACAGTCGGGCGTGTGATATTCTGCTCTGTATTCCTCACTATCATCGTCATCTAGGTCCTCTAATAAACTGTCGTCGCACTCATCATCCAGGAAGGTGAGGCAGGTGTGGAACGATGTGGTCTGGACACTGGCCAGGTCTGACATCTGCACCCTATGGTGTCACACACATGACGCCTCTCAGAAGAAGAAGAAACAGATGTGGAGTTTTTGAGGTCTTTTTAAGAGAACATACCTCGCTCCGGCAAAATAACCATCCTCCAGCTTCCTGAGCGTGGATAGGATACACGGATCTATGGCATCACCGTCTTCAACTGGGTGGGAAAAGGAAAGTCTGTTATTACTTTACAGACCTTGAACAAACAACTTCTGTGAGCTTTGCCTGGTTGTCCATTAAAATGTTTAGATAATTTCACAGATACAGCAGAATTCTTTGGATCATTCAAGAAGTAAAAAGGGCACAAGACCGCCATGCTACCATATACTGTTATGTTGCTCTAGAAATGCTGGTTTAAATGTGAAATCATCATTTTTACATAAATATTAGAAATCAGCTTCCAGTTTTTACTCTGGTTGTCTTTGATATTCAATTCTTTGATCATTTGTTTGATGATCTAAAACATTCAAATGTGGCATAAAAACAAGAAAAAAGAAATGTGTGAAAACATCTTTTCTGCTTCTGTTTAAATGAAAACCACTCAAGCGAAACAACAATACTCACACAAGTAAATTTAAACCTATACTTTTATCAGGGAATAACTAATATAGTTACCAACAGCAGCCAGAGGTTGGTAACTACATTAGTTGTCCATATGTTAAATTAAAATGACACAAACCCTACCTCTGTATAGATCAGTTATAGATGAGCTTTGATTTTAGTGTGCAAAAGGTTTCACACAGTACTCTATGAGTTTAATTTTCACTCTGTGAGATAGAAAAAGGACTGTGACTTCTTGCTGTAAGTTAGAGGCAGAATAATGTTTGTTTGAGTTCTGGATGTGGAGCATTGGTACCCAGCATGCTGTGTGTGATGGGGAAGGTGAGCGTGGGCCGTCCCGTCATCCTCCAGCAAGACGAAAGGTAGGCCAGCTCGGTTCGTAGCATCTCCACAATCATCTGGTTGTCCAGAGCAAGATAGAAATGATGCTGATCCAAAAACTGACCAGCGACGACAGAAAAGAAGAGAGGAGAAAAACACAGACATTAACTGCTGTTTCTATTGCTCTTCATTGGATTTTTGTTGTCGTAGTCACAATGATGACGTTAGGCCAGCCCCGTGCTGCTTTACCTGGGGGGTGAAGATGTAGGAGCGATTCCTTATCTCGTAGAATTTGGACGTTCCCAGAACTCCAATGTGTCTATACGGCCTCCCGCTCAGATTCAGCTTACTGCAGTTTCCTGTGACCGAGGAAACGGTTGTTACTCTGGTTCTACATAAATGCACCAACACACAACTCCTGGTTAAAAAAAATGAAAAATAAACATAACTTGCAGTTACCCAGTCTGACATAGATGTGGCTCAGGATGCGAGCAGGCATGACTCTTATAGGCAGCACCTCTGATATCGTCTGAACCGTAACCCCGGCATCTTTTAACAACTCCTTGATCTCCTCTGACTCTGCTAGAACACAGACTAAAACAAAACAAAAGGAAAACACATTTATGGGGTTAATTTCCCTTTTAAAGGTATAGTGGAGGATGATCTTTTTCCGCGTGGATCATGAAAATAAGTGGTGCTCCTAACTGTCAATCACTCTAATGATATATTTACATAAGGCCGTCCCCATTTTCACTTAGCGATGGTAAGTCTGACATAGTGGAAAAATTGCAAATCTTATTTTCGAAAGTAAGCTTGTAGGAGTAATGCAAACGGTAACTTTTAAACAGAGCGTGCACTAGGAGAAATCGGCTTGTGCACATTCTCACACGCGTTTAATAAGGGTTCCCTCTCTGGAGCAGGTACAGGGTTATCTATGTGCATTTTTTTTTTTACTAATCAAAAGAACATGACAAACCTGGTCCAAAATGTATCTACAGATGATTAATTATTTCTTAAAAGAAGTGTATTTACCCTTAGATGATCTGCCAATGGAATTTTATCCTTAAAATAATATAATTACTTTTTCTGGACTATTAGCTGCTACTTTTTCCCCACACTTTGAACCAGAAGGTGTGGCTTTTCTGTTGATTTGTCCTTACTGCCAGATGGGGGAAGTTAAAGTTGGAGATGAAATAATAAGGGGCTAAGATCATGCTGGAAAAACTAATCCATGCGTTTATTTTTAGTCGACTTGATTACTGCAACGGTGTTTTCACAGGTCTGCCTAAAAAGTGGATCAGACAGCTGCAGCTGATCCAGAACGCTGCTTCCCCAGTTCTAAAGTCCTTACACTGGCTCCCTGTATCTCAGAGAATAGACTTTAAAATACTTCTGTTAGTCTATAAATCTCTGAATGGCTTAGCACCTAAATACATCACAGATTTGCTATCAGTGCATTAACCCTCCAGACCACTCAGGTCTTCTGGCTCCAGCCTGCTCTGCATACCTAGAACCAGAACTAAACATGGAGAAGCAGCATTTAGTTCCTATGCTCCACTTATCTGGAACAAACTTCCAGAAAACCATAAAAGTGCGGAAAGCCTGAGTTCCTTTGAATCAAGACTAAAACACATTTGTTTAGGATTGCCTTCAACTGTTCTAGTTAAACAGTTCAACTAAAACATCATTAGTTCAACTTTTTTATTTTCTTTCTTTCTAGTCCAACTGTTTTAATGTTCTTTTTTGTTTCTGCATTTTTTATTTATTTATTTTTTATTACTTGCTCAGATTCTATTTTATTTTCCTATATTTTAATCATGTAAAGCACTTTGCATTGTCTTTGTACTGAATTGTGCTATACAAATAAATTTGCCTTGCCTTGCCTTTGCCTAATAGGCTCTATGCACAGCTCCACTACTTCCTGAATTTAAGGCAGCTCCTTTGTTTCCTGTCTTTCATGATTGGATGCACTGATTAATCCAGGTGTGTATGACCTAAGTAACTGGCCAGACACACCTGGATTAATCAGTTCGTCCAGTAATGAAAGACAGGAAACAAAGGAGCTGCCTTAAATTCAGGAAGTAGTGGAGCTGTGCATAGAGCCCATTTTCTTTTAGCACAAGAACATGCTAGCAGCAGGCATGACGCTGAACAAATGTTCCGAATTCACACATTTTGAAATTTTTTTGCCTCATTAATTAAAGCTGACGGACCAAAGAAGAGACTAGGCTCATCTCCTGCAGAGCTGAAATAAAGAGCTGAACAAGCTCCATCTTTCAGTTGAAGCTCTTAATGCTTGTCGCTACCCGATCTGTACCGGTAGCACGATCCGTACCATCAGCTCATTTGCGCCTGCGCGAACAGAATAACTTCCGGGTCGCCAAAAAATAATGTAATTATGGTACTGAAAAAACTTTATTTATATCCTTAAATAATTAAAGAATACTAAACTACATCGTAAAGACAATATTGAAGACTTTTCTGGAAGAAATGGATGCTTTTAAAATTCAATCCATTGTATTGCTTGACGTCATTTTTCTGGAATAAAAATCCAAATTTTCGGGAAATGTTCCCTTATCAATGAAAAACTGCAGGTCACGAAAGGTAGCAAATGAATCCATTGTGGGATTAGTACTGCTGGAGTGCATAGTTAAGTACAGAGTAAATCAAATATTAATAAAACATTAATAAAATGCAATATTGACGAAAATACAAAGATATACAAAAAGAAACCCATGCCTCTAAAAAATACAAAAGAATAAAAAAGTAAGAAAAAGGCCACCGGAAGTTATTCTGTTTGCGCACGCGCAAATGAGCTGATGGTAAGGATCGTGCTTCCGGTACGGATCGGGTAATGACAATGCTGCGAGCCAATAAGCTAACGGGAGCTAGCATTCTTCCTCTTCCCTACTTCAAGGGCTATATGTAGAGCTCCCCCTACAGGTCTGCTAGTAGAGAGTTCAGTAGATATCAGCAGCTTACGTTTACAGTTAAAAAAAAAAAATTGTGGGTGCGGCTTATATTGCGGTGCGCTCTACTCTGGAAAATACGGTAGATATTATGCACTTGAAATAAGAGACTACAATCATTTTTTTCTTATTTTAAGTGTAAATTGGCAATGTGTTTCAGTTATCTGCCAAGTAAAAAAAAATGCACCTATTTTAAGAAAAGTCAACTTTCTTAGATTTCATTTATTTGCAGTGTAAAGAATAGGTTGCATTTAAAACCCTCCCATGCCTGATACTAACTCGTTTAGTTAATTAATTACCAACCTTGTACCACCACATCAGGTTTGAAATGTGTAGAGAACCTCCTGTTGAGAGGATCGATCTCTCCTGGTGCAAGAAAGCCCTAAAGACAAACAGGGAAAACCAAATACATTTCATATGTTTAGATTTAGAAAAGAGATTTGTTATGTGGGGATTTTATGGGTGTTAACTGGTTTATAACATCTTCTGTGTTGTTACCTCGGCTAGAAGAGAGCCCACGATGTAGAGGGATTGTCCCCACATGTGTGGAAGCTGTCCCATGGCCTGTCTGTCCACGCTGTGAGGGTTACTGTACTCCTCCTCCACCTGTACGACATGATCCCAACAGAATAAAAGAATATTTGTGAACGATTTCCTTTGGAAATAAAACAAAAATGTGTTTCTCAATGTGAATAAACTGCACGATGTCATCAGTGGGACACCTTGTCGAGTGGCACGGCGTAAAGTTCAGGCACCAGCTTGATGCCGTTCTTCCCTCTGATTAGAACACTCTCCAGCGCCTCTCGGTACTCCTGCACCTGTGTGAAAAGGATGACGTTACTTAGTGGCGCAGTATTTACAATCATTTATTATAAATGCACAGGTCAAACAAAATATGTTTAGAAAATTTAACAGGCTGTGAGGAAATATAATATTTATTATTTTAGTTTCCAATAGTTATCAATTTTACACAGTGGCTGATTATATGCCCTTATTTTGTAACAACAACCTTAATCCACTTAATATAAAGCATTTCAATATAACATTGAACACAGTAGGCAGCATGTATATTTATTCACTCCTTCATTGGAGATAAAATCCTTAAATTAAGAAATCTCTTTAAAAATTTTGTTTAGCAGCCAAAGAAGGCAGACGAGGGTCTTTTTTCATTCCAAAAAATGCTTAAAGTGAACAGGTTCTTGTTTAAATCTGCCCATATCTACAGAGGGAGCAACAAATGCAACCACACACTGTTAAAGTAACTGTAAAAGATCTACATGCACGCTTGTGATTTTTTTTTTTACCTGCACATGATCTCCTGTAAAGATGCCGTCGAGGATGAGATACGTCCAGAAAACGGGCCACTCGCATTCAATGTTTTCAAATAGCTTGAGCTCTGCAGGATCATAGTGCAGTCGAGATGGATCCTGGTGAAAAAGCAACCCGACACCCACATTCAAGCACACACCATAGGTAAACCATCAGCATTAAGAATTTTTATAGAGAGAATGTAAAACCTCTTTAGGACAGTGATATCCATCCCTGATGAAGCGACAGCAGCCATAGCGACCCTGAAATGAAAGCAAAGGGGATATTCATTGACCCGCTGTGTGAAGCCTTTCCTTTTTTCCCTTGCTTGGGTGTGTACCTGCAGTTTGCTTATAATTTCTGACTTAGTGATGGCCACCAGGTCAGCATCCTCCACGGCGAAAGCAGGGAAGGAGATAACGGACAGCAGACCGGCATCTATCTCCTTGGAAGTCGAGGCTCTTGGCAGCATGGAGCAAAGGATGGCCTGAGAGAAAACACGCAGACATGAGGAGCGCTGAAGGTACGGGCTGGTGCTTATACAGCCAGAGGTTAACTCAGAGGTACCTGACAATGTTCCACCTCGTCTGGCAGAACGTGGATGACAGACTTTGGCCCTCCATGAGCCCCAAACAAATCCAGCTCATCGATGGCCTCCAGAGCTGCCTGCAACATTAACCATGCTCTCATCAATTTAACTAAACTGTTCAATGACATTTGATACTTTTAATGTAGCAGTAGCCTGGTTATAAATGCTAAGATTAGAAAAAGAAAAGGCTGCTGTACCTTCGCCATTCCTACAGAGCTGCCGTTGAGCTCAGGGATCCCCTGATTGGTCTTGTCTCCTCGCTCCCACATCCCATAATCCTGCAGGAGTGAGACACTCATTCAGATTTTTCATACTAACTTTAATCTACCAACTATGAATCTGATGCTTACTGCCACTTTGTAGGCTGCTTCAATGTAGAAAACCAAGTTCTGAATAAAAGCTACTTCATCCAGATTAGAGATTATTCGGAGACCTGCGCAACAAAACAAGAAAGAAACTATTAAATAACAAAAAGCAATTGTGTGGCTTCATTAACCCTAACAGAAAATGGATTTGAAAGATGTATTCAAATGTATTTAAGAACCTGAGGCTGTCATCTGCGCCAGCATCAGCAGGTAAATGGAGGTGGCATCCACCTGGAGATGACCCCACTGGTCGTCTTTGACCACCAGGCCGCAGGAGGCTGTGTTGTATTTGGCGTGCAAGCAGTCCTTGGTACTCTGGGTGTGTTTGAACTTCTCCACCTTATCGACCTGGACATACAAAGGAGAGCTTTAGTGGGAGTAAGAGAAACCTAAAGGAATATGGCAACCGTGGGAAACTTGAATTCCCAGTTTCAAAATACCAAATCAAATTACAAATTACAAATCACCAAAACACAGACTACTGGATTTTTTCTCCCCCTTCGATGTGATGTTAGTATAGAAAGATGCAGCGTCTTACCTGTCTCATCATGCACCGCAGAAGGCCCTGCATCAGTTTCACCACACTCTGCCAAATAGAATACAAAACACCTGACATACAGTGCTGGAAACATATAATCCATTTTAATTTTTGGAGAGTTGGGCAAGAAAAAGATGAGCATAACATTCATATATAATGTGCAGCAAGAAGTGTAATTGTAAAGATTACCTTAATAATGTTAAGGTATTATTTCTTTCATTCTTACAAACCAATTTGTTCCAGATGGAAATATAAGGCTCAGGTGTTTTCTTTTTTCTTTTTAGACTGAATCACTCTACATAAAAAGCAGGACAAAAAGGGCCCGCTGCACTCTTGAACGCTTGAACTCTCCTCTTCATGTACCTGCTCCAGTTCGTAGGCCTTGGCCTTGTCTTCGTCACGGTCCGCATTCTTGCGATAAGCCATGCCCAGGCCCCACACAGCCAGGATGCTGTACACATTGTCCCTCACCCAGGCATCCTTCTTCTGTATACTGGCGGGGAGAAGTCCTGTAACTGGGTTCTGAGGAAGGAGGAGTCCAGTTTAGAGTAATTATTTACCTTTTCTAATTATGAGCTTTTCTAGAATAATACTCTATTACTCTACAGCTGTTTCCTTTTCCACACATTTTTGTTATAAAACTGTATACTCTGTCGTTCTCAACCTTCTCTGTCCCTTTTAGTAAATTTCCCTCAAAAAGTTTACTTACAAAGAGAAATCAGGTTCTAAATGCTAAAGGATGGACGGATGGATCTTCTACATCAGTGTTTACCAACCTTTTCTGATTTCTTTCTTTTCTCTTTTGGTTATTTAGTCTTACCATGCGTACCCCACTCAGTCAAAGCTATGGCTGATTGTCCAAAAGCAGAACATAAAATAACTGATTATGAAATAAAAACTATTTTACTTAATCTTTTATAGGCATTGTAGGCTTTCAATAAAAAAAAAAACATAAATATGTTGCCTGGAAGTTAGTTCAAATAAATACAAAATAAAATCATATCATAAACCTGTATTTATAAAATTGGAGCTCCTCTGAGTAACTCCCTTATCACATTTAGGGCTAAAACAATTAATCGTGATTAATCCGATTTTTGGAATAATTGTGAACTAATTTGGTAATTGATTAATCGTTAACTGAAGTGTAGAGACTCTAAAATATGCCTTTAGCTGACAGAGCGACCAACCTTGAGCAGCAATTATACCAAAATTGTAAAAATATGTGAAAATGTTGCATTTAAGATAAAAAAAAAAAAACATTTTCATTGGTCAACATGCTCTAATTAGAACTCCTTAAGTGGAAAAAGGTTTAGTTTCAACTGGTTTAATTTAATAAAAAATCTTCTTTAAGGAACCTTTGTCTATTTGATTATTAATAATAAAAAAAATGATCAACAGATTAAACCTTTTAAAAAATAATCATTAGTTGCCCTAATGACATTTAAACTTGATGAATTGGAAGCTAAATACAGAACAGAAATTATAGTTAGACTAACTTAATTAGTTTTACTTTTTTTTTAATCAAGACCCCTGAGCTGTTTTGATGAGCTCTGATAGCTCAGTGTGAAAAATCACTGATTCCAGGCTGTTCTCTACATCCAGCCTGTTCCTCTGCTTGGTTTGGATGTGCATCACAGTTGAAGGTGAACTCAAACATATAAGAAAAACATAGGTTAATATAAGCTTTTTAATTTTTCAATCGGATCCTCACAAAAAAAAAAAAAAAAAAAAAAAAAACTGATCCCAGCCCTAGCTTATTTTACTACTAAGAAGTTAAATATTTTCATGTACCCCTTGCAATGCACTCGCGGACCACTAGGGGTATGCACACCCCCTGTTGGGAACCACTGTTCTACACAACGAGATGCAACTATTTTTCCATTCTGTAATTAATTTGTTTCATACTTTGCACAAACTTTAAAAAAATATATATACATTGGTCTTCTACGTATTTCCATGTAGGGATTAGCTCAATGCCGACTAAAACAATAAATAATTTATCACTCCTCAAAGTCAACTTTAACTCTAAACACTGGCAACCCACGACTGATTTAATCAGTCGTGGCTGTAAAGCTGTCAAAGTTCCCACAATCTTGACTTTGGTCTAGGAGTTAGGGATTAAGGCAGAAACCCTATGGACCAAACTAAATCGAGCGATTGATTTGCAACAGAACACAGAAAACCTCAAACCTGATTAGATCCATTTAAAAATGGATTAAATGTGAATGATTAGTAAATACCTCCAGAGTAATCAACTTCTTATGGGCCACTTTCTGTGCATCAAGTACAGTGACTGAACTCAATGATTTACCTCTGATTTTATAGGTTTTTTGTGATTAACAGATAGCATATCTGAATGTCAATAGTAGACAAATGAGGTTTTCCTTTCAGATAAACTTGTTCAGGAGTCGATCAGAGAGAGCGAAGGCGGCTTTAACCTTGGTAACAGTGCAGCAACAAACTAGTTTACACATCCTGGTTCCAGTTTGTAAAACCTTGTTCAGGTGAGACATCTGTATGGAAAGCTAAGTCTGTTTTCTCTCAGCTGTGGCCCCTCAGGGTTACAGTTTCACTCAGCCAGTTTCTGACTGCGTCAGAGTGAACTCAAGAGCTGTTAGATAAAATGTGCATCGCTTCCCAGGCCTCAGCTGATTCTCAGAACTGAACTTTGCTCCGACGTTGTTTATTTCACTGTGCAGCTGCTGTAGTTGAACTTTAGCCTTCATGGGCTTCAAAACACCTAAATATCTTTGATATTCCTGCAGGGAGCAGAGGGGATATTAGATTACAGAGGTTTTAAATTGAAGCACTGTTTAAAACATCTATGCTTACAAACATCGTCAACATCTGCAAACATTAGCAGGATCTATATGTGCTTACCCTGTTCAGGGATTTCATTTGTGAAGCTCATATTTGTTGTTTTATTTTACAACTTTTTAGAGATGCACATCTTTTATATAGAGATTCAATAGAATGCCTTATGAATGTCTTTATTTAATCTCATTTGGATTCTAATGGCAGATTATAAGATTAGCACAGGTCTTATTCTGTAAAACAATAGACTGCATTGCAGAAAATGTACCAATCAAATATTTCCTGGGGCGATACTTATTAGCAGGACTTGAATTTGAACTTCCTGACCATTTTTTTTAATTTTATTATTACAAACAATAAAAAAAGGATAGGTTGAAGCTTTTAATCAAACAGATTTGTGCCGAATTCCCCAAATTCAGTGCATGTGATGTTGGCTATATATATATAGACTTTTTTTAAAATTTACTATGGTTCTTATTATAAGTCATTTAATATATATATATTTTTTTTTAAATGTGTCAGATGTATCTGTTTTTGATGGGTCACAGAGTCAATCAATGGACATTTTTAACAGGGGGTATCTAGCATAATTATCTTTGTTGTTGTTTTTTTTAATTTATATATAGAAACAGAAATAAAATCCACCTACATAAAAGTAAAAACAGGTGATGTGGAAACAGGACAGGGTTGTACCTGAATGGAAAACAATAACATACTTTATTTGCAGGACTTTATTCTTAAATTTAATATTAACTATCAATAAATGTACCATTAATATTACAAATATTTATAAGGTAATGTACTCTAGGAGTAACTAAATAGATTATGTGGCTTGACAAAAACAGCCCAGAAATTCATAGATTAAAGGAAAACATGCTTATTTCCCAGGCCTGCAGAGGGGATGTGGCTGCTGTGCAGCTCTGTGTGTCTGGACCCACCTGATGACACAGGATGGTCTCCTGGACCAGCCTGGCATACCCGTCCAGCCTCACTCCTGAGTTACTGCGGCTCCTCATCCTGCGCAGACAGAGTTTATTTCATGCACCGCCTAAAACTTCAACATTTTCTTCTCTCGGCGTTAAATGCGATCAAAGTAGCAGTTAAATCTGTCTGATCGTGACTCGGCTAAGTTTCTGCGCAGCCACCCATCTTTCCTGTCCTGCTGAGTCTGTCTGACCTCCGCAGAGGCTAAAAAGCTCGCTAGCAGTGTAGCATCCGGGCTTAAACAGCTTCTAACTCCAGATTTACTGTCCGTGTTCAATCCAGGCGGTCAGCTGGTCTGGGGAAAGTTGATGGTTCGGAGTGTCAGAGCTTGCTGATGACTCGGTGTGTCAGGCGACGTATGTGAGCGCCTGTACATCCATTCTGTACATTATGTTCTTGAGCTGATACAGTCGGCCGCCAGAGGGCGCCAGATTCTGCTGTGTGTGAGCTGCATTACAATGAACCTTGGATTCACTGGAGGCCAAAAGAGCGCCAGACCCAAAAACAGAGGCGTATCCAGAACATTTTTATGCGGGGGGCCAGGCACTAACCAATGTAGACTGAGGGGTGGCCGAAAGCATATAGGCACCAGAACCTCAGGGTCAATCTTCTCTGTTCCAACAGGGAAATTAATGAGCAAAACATCCATATTTTCTAAATAAAGAAAAACTATACTTTCCCACAACCTTTGCTACAAATGGACAAATATATTTAAACATCCGTGCTTTCTAGATAAAAGGCATAGTGGCTCCGGAGGCGCACACGGCTCTTTAGCGTCCCCCTTGCGGCTCCCTGCTGGAGCTTTTTCGAAAATGTATTAAAAAAAAAATCACATTTTTTGTTGTTGTTGTTTGTTTTAATGTGGTGTGCTGGAGGTCGGACAAAAATTTATTGTTTTTCAATGGTGTAAACATTTGTATAATAAACAAATGTAAACAATGCGTCATAGCCATAGAGATCAGTGGTCATAACTTGCAACCAGCGTGGCATGGTGCCAGGCAAGCAAAGCTGCAGGCCATGGATTCCAAAGGGAAAAAAGGAAGATAGCTGATAAGGAAAGAGGATTAAAAGAATGGAGTGAATCATTTCCTTTCATTATCTGTGTGGAATGATTGCCTGCATTTTTTGCTTTGTAATGATGGGATTTCAGGGTTAAAGAGAGCTGCTCTGATGGATGTCAGTTCCTGCTTGGTTCCTCATGACTCAATCTACTCCTCAACAGAAACAGAAACACATCCACCATAAAAAGATTCCTTTATTGTGTTTCTTTGATTTCAACAATGCAACAAAACTTAAACCACGCACTAATGGCAGCGTTCACTGCTCCTCCCTCACCTCATGCTGCTATGTGACATTTGCTCCAGGATAAACATTTAGTCATGAATGCTTTTTATATATTTAAGCTCACAAAGTCCTTTTCTATAGTGGTCTCATACACTTAGAGCCCGTGTTGCCATACGAGGCTTAAGATTTTTGCGGCTCCAGACAGATTTATTTTTTGTTTGTTTTTTTGCCCAATATGGCTCTTTGAGCAGTTTGGGTTGCTGAACCTTGGTATAGTGGATAATATTCTTTCAGGTTTGGGGGAACTTTTTTTACATTGTCATTACTTTCCTACTTTTATAGATAATCATTTTGCATAAAATTGATAATTTATTACATTTTTATTAAAAAAAGTTATTTATCAATGATTTCACTAAAGACTCCTAGGTAACTTGCAGAGACAATTTTCTCTTTACCCCATAAAAGACAAAATCTAATTCTGAAAAGAGCATTAATTCTGTACTCATCATCTTTAATGTTAGTATATTGATGTGCATAATTAACTACAGTGTTTTTGTTGTCAAGTAAATGTTAATATATGTAAAATTAAAATGTTTTGAATATTCCACTTGAGAGTATTACTGCTGCCACCATCTGTATTAGAGGGAAATGAAGGGTAGGGGTGACCACAGGGGTGTCCAATGATTGGCTAAGGGTGGCCATGGCCACCCCTGGCCCCCCATCTAGTGTTGCCCCTGCACAAACATACAAAAAATAAATTTATCTATATTTGAAAATTTAAATAAAACTGCCATCAATGTATATTAGATGAATGAAAAGTTAGCAGTTTAGGTAAACGTCATATAATGATGCTTAAAAAAGATGTAATCACATATAGGCTATATCAATTTTAACTTTACATTATTACTTTACAAAACCCTTTATTGTTATTTAAGTATGAATTTAATCATTTTATACTTTTATGTCATACAGTCACAGGAATACTTTTAATGGATCATGAATTAGGCTCTAAAATTTGATTGGTTAATCAAACAGGACGATGTAGCATATAATTTAATATTAAAATAATAATTATTTAGTATATGTATAAAACTTTTAAATGATTTTAATCTGAACTATTTATAATACATTTATTGATTGATCTTTTTCTGAAATTATTTATTTGAATTATTCCATGTACGGCTTTTTTTGGACCTATTAATTGAGTTGTGGCACTTCTGGACCATGGTAGTCACATGGGATCTATTCTATTGAATATATCAAAGAAAAAAAACATAAATACAAAAGTAAAATATAAATTATTACTTCATTTATTATGGGACCGATGAGATCCCTTGTCCCTGTCCAAAACTACTACTGACTAAAACAAACAACGTCAGAGATTAGAACAGAAGAGTCAAATGAATAAGTAAATAACAAAAAATACATGATAGAATAGGTAATCACTGAGTCCCTCTGGACTCAGTGCAGAAAGTGGAAAACAAAATCCTAACTAAATTAATATCCTTGTTGGATAATGTCTCCCACCGCATACATGATGCTGTTGCAGAACTGGAGAGCTCCTTCACTGACAGACCGTTGCACCCTAAATGCACCAGGGAGCGTTATCATAGATCCTTCCTCCCAGCAGCTGAAAGACTCTTTAACCACCACTGTTCCCAACAACCTCAACAAGTTGTTACATTCATGCTGATTTTGCACAGTTTCTACCTTAGTCAGTTAAATAACATGCTGCTGTCATTCTGCACATCTCTGATGTTGCAGCCATTTTCAAATATCCATTACTGTACAAATGTCCATAGCTACATATTGGTTATTTATTCTCCATGTGCACAGTGTTTATATTGTTAAAACACTTTACATTATCGTATTTTATTTGTTTATTTTATTTTATTTTATTTTAACCCTTCACTACTATGTTATTCTTACACATTTTTCTAAGGTCCACATTTGTGTGACTAATTTTTTCTATAATCTTTTTTCTGCTGTAAACTCCAGAATTTCCCCATTGTGGAACAATAAAGGGATCTTCTATTCTATTCTATTCTATTCTATTCTATTCTATTCTATTCTATTCTATTCTATTCTAGAATTAATTATTAATCAGTTTATTTTAATACATATAAAACATAATGTATACTTAAGGCTATGATGACATTGCATCTGTAATTAGTGGTATGAAGCAGCCAAATTTGTTGAATCATACTTCTTCTTTCTTCAATAGTTCTTTACACCAACAGTCTTCCAGATTCCTTACCTACTTATGGAATTTAATACAGATGCAGATCTCAACCTTGAACTCCAGATCAGGACACTTTTAAAATTGAGCTTTTTTCTTCTGACTCACTCTAATTTTGGGATTAATGAAGTACTTTGTATGCCTGCAAGCTGTGCAAAATACTGCAGCATGACTTTTAACTAGAACACAAATGTCTGACCACATAACCCCCAATTCTTTATTCTCTTCATTGGCTGCCCTTACTTTTTAGGATAAGTTCTCTCATTCACTTTTAGATCTCTTAATATCTTACCTACGCACATGTTTATTCATATAAGTATTTCTTATAGAACACAGAAGCATTGCAAAAATATATTTACACCCATGTAAAGTAACTAAGAGTATCCATTGATGTTCACCACCCTTCATCACGTTTCACCCACATTGCCAACTGATTGTGGTCAGAGGGCCCGGCGGCGTACATCAGCCTCGCTTCTGCCAGTGAGCCCCAAATGCAGCTTGCAACTGCCAGGGTGGGTGAACGTATGAATGATTAAATGTAACGTAAAAGTACTTTGGAGTCCCTGTGGCTTGAAAAGTAGATAGTTAAAGTGTACACTTACCGGTCACTTTATTAGGTACACCTGTCCAACTGCTCGTTAACACTTAATTTCTAAGCAGCCAATCACATGGCGGCAACTCAGTGCATTTAGGC